CTTTCTCTAATTAGTGTTATCAGAGTATATCTTACTTAATTCCATATACTTTTAATCTCTCTGTGTCTTTATATTTGAAGTGAGTTTCTTGTACACAGTGTAGATTGGTTCTCTTTATTTCTCCATTCTGATAGTCTCTTTTAATTTGTATATTTGGACCACTTACATTTAAAATATATATTTGTATAATTGGATCAATGTCATATTTATAATTGTTTTATATTAACTGTTTATTTTGTCTTCTGTTCTCTTTCTGCCTTTTCTTTTTTTTTCTCATTTTAATTGAGCATTTCATATTATTCCATTTTCCTCTCTCTCAGTATATCAATTATACTTTAAAAAAAGTTTTTTAGTGGTTGCCCAAGAATTTGCAGTATACATTTACAGCCAATCAAGTCCATATTCAATAACACTATCTGACCTCAAGGGTAATACAAGCACCTTATAATATTCTCAGTCCCTTTCTCCCATCTCTTATAGCACCTGCTGTTATTCACTTCACTCACCCATAAGGTGCAGTCACTAAATACTTTGTTATTTAAACAAACTATTACCTTTAAATCTATTTAGAATAAAATATGGAAATTTTTGTTTTACCTTTATTTATTGCTTCTCTAATGCACTTTCTTTACTTTGTGTAGACTCAGCTTCTGGCCTATACACCCATTTCATTGCAGAGCTCCCTAGGAGTGCCCCTGGAGCTGTCCCACAGCCGGCGGAGCTCAGGTGGAGATGTAAACAGACGGTCATCCCAGTGCTGCCAGATCCTCTGATAAGAACCATTTAACGAGGGATTAAGAGAAAACCCCAGATGCAAAGTATCAGAGTTTGGCCCAGCCGTTAGAAAGGCTGGGCCCTGACCAGTTCCCACAGAGGGACAGAGGATCCCTGTCCCACTCTCCAGCCCCCGGTGGGCTTGCCCACATCGGACTCTGTCAGTTCCACAAGTCCTCCCTACTTTGTGAAGTAACAGTACCCCTTCTCAGCCCTCAGCCTTGCCCTGTGCTGCCTTTCCCTGTTCCAGCAAGCCAATGACGCTTGTCCAGAGTACAGCCCCGCAGGTGCTGTCCCCGACTGCAGGAAATCCGCACTGGGAACTGGGCAGCTCTCGGCAGCAGCAGCTAAGTCATCTGGGCATCAGGGTCTCCAGTTGTGACCTGGACTTTGCAGAACAAGGAGCATTTTCCCTGAGCAGGGTTTGAACAGATCCATAGTAGGACCCTGTGAGTAAGGTGCTCACTGAGAACTAGCAACACCTGCCCACCTGCCCACCTGCCCACCTGCCCTGGCGGAAGGCTTTAAGGGCTCCTAGGAAATAGCTCCTCTGTGAAGGGATGGCTCTCACTCGACTTGACTTCACGTGGTTCACCAGCCCTTCTCCTTACTCCCCAGACACCAGCTTCCAGAGTAGGCAGGCCCTTCTTTCCAGTTTATTTTCTGGGGTGGAAAAGTTTTGCACCATTGATTTTCCCTGCCTTGTATGGCTCGCCGCTGCTTAGTACTTGCTTAGGGGGGACGACCTTGCCCCCGGGAGGACGCGCGAGCGCGCTCTCCTCGGGAGCGGTGGCAGTCCTGTCTTCAACCCGGGTTTTGGACTCTAACTAGAAGGGAAACTTTCCGAGCCCCTACGTCTTTCAGTCAGCCAAAAAGGTGGGGAGCAGGGGAGCAGAGAAGTCACTGAAGAAAATCTTAAACCAGGCTTACAGTGCCAGGAAACCCCGGACTGTCCAGCGCAGGTACCGGCTGTGCGCCTGCCGGCGAGGAAGGAAGGGCTGAAGCGCTTCCGGTCGGACCATTTTAAAGAACCTTTTTAGAAAGATGTCTTAATGAATATGTGAGGTACCTTTCCCAAACCTAATTATAAGAGATTTCTGGAAATATGACAAGGGTAAAAGCTTTTAATAGCAAATTTCGGCCAAGCTATGAGCATGGAGTCACACTTATCAAACTTGAACACATTGTTTTTATCTGATGCTCATTTAAGTGAATGTTCCAGATATTAACAGTTTAATAGTACACTTCCCAGTCACGCCTTGGAATTCATTGGAGGCTGCCGAAAGGGACTGCCAGCGGTGTATAGATCCCACATGAAATACAGTTCCTTAACTCATGCCCTAATTGAAAGGAAATTGCTTAATTCCCAATCAATGTAAATGCTGTTAACACTCAAAGATATCCTAGGGTAAAGGGATTTTGGTTGGTAGCAGGCTTCTTTTTATCAATTCATGTAGCAGACAGAGCTGCTGCTGTGAGCCAGGCTCTCCGGTGGGCACGCTGCCCTGAGGGTGGGAGCCACTCTCCTTTGGCCTTGCTCCTGCCTTAGCCTCCTGTGAATTAGTCGCCACTCCTTTCTGGTTAGAAGCCCTTATTGACTGTAATTCCCATCCCTTTAATTTGATCTTGATTAGATTTATAAGGACAATGAAATTAGCTGGGCAGCCTTTTCAAAATCAAGATCTGTTATTTTCATTTTTAGAAAGCCACTCAAGTGTGCATTATTTGAATGTATTTTAATAAATCAAACCTACTCAGTTCTCATAATTCTATTTTATCCTCTACAGATGAAGTTTCTTCTAGTGCTTGCTCTAGTCGGGAATGTAGTTCTTCTCCACTGTGGAGAGTGGTTAAGATGACTGGACATTTAGGTCTCATCTTACTCTTGTTCTAATGTCTGATTTCACTTTTCAAGGATTGTCTGTGATTTGACAGTATATCTGCAATGCTTCACATTCCAAGAAAATCAGAACATCTCAGTGTCCTGTTTAAAATTCCTCACTGGCTTCTCCTTCCTTCCAAGATCAAGTCCAAAGTCCTCAGCAAGCCCCTGACCGGTCCGCGCCATCCTTCACCGCCAGGCCTCCGCCCTCACGGGAGAAGAGCAGGCCCTGCCCCCCCCCTTACCCGCATCCCTGCCGCTCCCTTCCTTTATGAAGCTTCCCTGACTCTCAAGCCAGCCTGGCGGGCCTCTCTTCTGCCCCTCTGAAGGGTCTTTTCCATTTCTCAATTTAGCATTTACTTTTTGGTATTTTTAGTGGACTGTTTTTCAGAGTAGTTTTAGGTTTACAACAAAATTAAGCAGGTGGTACAGAGATTTCCCTTATTCTCCCTGCCCCCATATATGCCTGGCCTCTCCCATTATCGACATTCCCCATCAGAATGGTACCTGTTACAATAGACAAACCTAGTTTGACACATCTTAATCGCCCAAAGACCACAGTTTATATTAGGGTTCACTACTGATGCTGTCTTTTCTTTGTTTATACAAATGTAGACATGTATCCGTCATTATAGGACCACACAGAACAGCTTCACTGACCTAAACATCCTCTCTGCTCACCTGTTCACTTCTCCACTGCTTCAGCACTTGGCAGCACTAACCTTTTTGCTGTTTGTATGTTTTTGCTTTTTCTAGAATGTATAGAGTTGGACTCATAGCTTTTTAAAACTGGCTTCTTTAAGCAATATGCTTTAAGTTTCCTCCGTGTCTTTGCATGGCTTGCTGGCTTACTTCTAGCACTGAATAGCATTCCATTGTCTGGACTTCCCACAGATGTCCCACTGAAGGACAGCATGGTTGCTTCCGAGCTTGGCCAACTATGAGTAAAGCAGCTGTGAACATCTATGTACAGGTGTTTGTGTAGACCTCGGTTTTCAACTCATTTGTGTAAATTCCAAGAAGTGTGGTTGCTGGGTCATATAGTAAGACTATATGTAGTTTTATAAGAAACCGTCAAACTGCCTTCCACGGGGGCTGCACATTTCGCACTCCCACCAGCAGGGAGTGAGGGTTCCTGTCGCTCCGCCTCCCACCGCATTTGGTGTGGTCAGTGTGCTGGGTTTGGGCCGTTCTCACAGGCGCGTGTATGGTATTTAATTTACATTTCCCTGATGATATATGACGTTCAGCACCTTTTCATATGCTTATTTGCCGTCAGTGTATCTTCTTTGGTGAGGTGTCTATTAAGGTCTTTTTGACCCATTTCTTAATCAGGTGGTTTGTGTTCTTATTCTTGAGTTTTAAAAGTTTATTGTATATTTTGGATAATAGCCTTTATCAAATATGTCTTTTGCAAATATGTTCTCCCACATTTCATTATATTTTTACTCATTATTTGTTTCTTGGCTTTCCCAACCGGACGGTAGAGTCCATGAGAGTAGGGATTGTATCATCCCTCTTTATGTTTTAGGGCCACACACAAATCCCACACTAAACAGCATTGTATACATATTTGTTCATTGAAAAAATAAATCACAAATGTTGGAGTAAGAAAGAAACAGAAAACCAGAATAGGAGATACTAACAGATCGGTAAGACTATTTCTCTTTCCTTATGAAAGAATTGGACACCACGCTGAGGATGTCCAGGAGCCTGTCAGGAGGCAAACGCCGGAAGTGCTGTCAGCCGCAGGGCCGTGACTCTGGGGCTCAATGCATGGCGGCTGGTGGTCACAAGGACCGGGGGAACGCCTCCTGGAAGGGGCTTCTGTACCTCTCGTACTCACACTCGATGTTAATTCCACTTCTAGGAATCTGTCCTAAGGAGAGGGTCTCAGCACAGAAAGGGCCGCATGCAGAGGGGTGTCCATGGCCTAACCGCTCAAGGGATTTGGAGGCACAAGCGTCCAGTATGGAGTGGTGGAGGGAGTAGGACACATGGCCTAGGCGGATTATCAGTAAGACAGATGAGACCATCCTTACAGCAGTGCCCTGGCAACCTGCGGGGCAGGGGCAGGCCTGCTGTGTGCACCTGCCGCCTCAGTGCTGTATCGCCCAGACTGGAACAGGCCAGGCAAAGATGGAAACACTTGGGTAGGCAGTAATGTGGGCAGGTTTTAAAACTTACTTTTTATTGTTAAATCGTGTTCGTCCAATAAATGGAAATTGTAAAAACCTTAGGAACATTTATGTAAACTCACAAGTGAGAAAACAGTCTGAAGCGCAGGGTCGCTGGGCGAGCGCCGCCGCCTCTGAGACTCTGCCTTTGCTGTCCCCTGGCCCAGGCACGGTGGCCGCTGTGGACGAGCGCACTGCCTTCTCGTGGCCCGTGTGCGACCTGTGCGGCAACGAGAGATTGCAGCGGAGCCCGGAAGACAGGTAAGGGGCAGTGCCTGGCCTGGAAGAGCCTGGGGCCGCAGCACCCAGTGCCTGCATCGTCCCTCCTGCGTCTGCCGGGCCAGCTTCCCCTCGCCAGGGGCCAGGCGCGAGCTCCGGGGGCAAACCGCGCGGAGCAAGAGGCCCCGCCCGTGGTGTCATCTTCACAGCGGGCGCGGAGCTGTTCCTCGCAGCTCCTGTCTTGAAATTTAAAAAGAGCTGGGTTTTGTCCTCAGTTTGTTCATTATTAGGAGAAAAGAGAAAAACTCAGGGTAAACAGGGATACATAAGACTAACTTGGCAACTGTACAGCTTGCCCTGTGTAGGGACACAGATTTGCCAGAAACCAATGAAAAGCCACATAAACAGACGCCCCTTCCCTGCGTGTTGCAGCACCCACACCCGAGGGACCCGGTCCGGGCTGGCAGGCATGCAGCCTGAGTCCGTTCTCGCGGCTCCCGGTTGACTGTCACGCGACAGATAGAAAGGGGCTGTTACTTTTCTGCTTAAGAAGCAAAGGACAGATGTCTCTTTGACACTTCCTGGGCTGATGGAATTATGTAGAAACAAGTCATCACTGGATCATATTTAAAAGACAAGAAGAGTGTGAATCATAGGTTTACTTGGTAGCAATAAGGAACATAGATACTGATGATCAAACCAGGTTTTCCCGTTCAGGCAGATAGGGAGCCCTGACTTCCCTGGCCTGGCTGGGGCCTCCCCTTTGCTTCGTGGGGTGTTTGCTGTCATCCTCTGTGCTCAACTTGATGAGGCTTCCCTGCATAAGTCTGCCTTCCCCTGTTACATGCCCACCAAGCCATCAGCCGGACGCTGAGGAAGCTGATGTGTGTCCCTCAGAACAGTCTGAGCCGGGGCTGCCTCTGGCCTATCTCAGCAATCATTCGTGTTTAGAAAAATGCCTGTCTGCTGATCTGTGCGTTTTCTGGTCTTGCCCAAACGACAGAAGTGCCTTTTCCTGTGCGGACTGCTCCCGTGTGGTCACCTCTCCTCTTCTCAGAAGGCATCTTCAGGTCTTCCTGGACTGCCCCTCGCGACCCCAGTGCACCGTGAGGGTCAAGGTAGGAGCTGGTGCAGGAGCTGTGTATATCCTGTGTCCATCTCATGCAGCTACTCTGGCTCACTGGCTAGGATAGAGTTGCATCTGTTGCTCTTTCCCCGGGAAAAGGGAAAGGGACCCACCCTCAGGAACAGTCTTTCCATGTCTGTGACTTAAAAAGTCACATTTGACTTAAGGCTTTGAGAGCATAGCTACTAATGAGAAGACAGTTGGTTCACATCTAACACACCGACTTTCAGGACGCGAGTGTTTTTAGCGTGAGCACTTGTTACAGCAGCGCCGTGTGTAACCGCCCTTGGCTCTTGTTGCAGCTGGAGCAGAGCAGCATCTCTTCGCTCCTGAGGTTCGCCACCTGTGAGGACGGGGTAAGTGCAGGGACACCCAGCCCGATGGGTGTGCTTATGCTCTTGAGCCCTAAGTGAGCGGATCACCCCGCAGATGCACCCCTACCCCGTGTACTTGCGGTCACAGCAGTCCCACAGTGTGACTGCGCACCTGCTGTGTTTGGACTCCACTCTACACTGAGGCACTGAGGCACTGAGGCACGGATGAGTCTTACACTGTTATCCACTGACCACTGCCCACGTCTGCTCTTGGGATCTTTCCTTTAGGAGTTGAGGTTATTTCCTATTAAGTCTTCTTTTGTTAATCCTCGCTCAAGGATATTTTTCCATTGATATTTTTAGAGAGAGTGGAAGGGAGGGTGGAGGAGGGAAAGAGAGAGAAAAACATCGATGTGAGAAAGACCCATCAATCGGTTGCCTCCCACATGGCCCCAGTAGAGGCCAGGGATCAAACCTGCAACCCAGGGACATGCCTTTGACTGGAATCGAACTCGTGACCATGACTGTCTAATCGCTGAGCCAGATAGACCAGGGTCTGATCAGTCTCACAGCAGGTATATGAATCTGTCTCCCTGGCTCTGGATTATGGTGAGACAGTATTGAGATTTCAAGTCTTGCTGCCATGGTTTCAAGTGAATAGAATAGAATAGAATTATCTGAGAGATACATGCTTTTTTTTTTAAGTTTGAGTATTCCAGAGTCTGATTAACTGGTAACTTTACCATTATTTCTGAGAGTTACTCTGGTGTAACTTAGTAAAGTGGTGTACTCCTCCAAGAACACACCACCCAAATAAAACTTACGAGCCAAAAGACAGTTTTCTTCCCCATGAAATGTGGCCCTCATAAACGAGATCAGCCTGTCCCTGAGATGCCCTCCGTCTTGTCAGAGCCATTTAAAAGCACCACAAGTGGCCTGTGGAATTGCCGAACCCAGAGAGGGCACTGGGGACTGACCACTGAGGTGGTGCCAGGACACAGCTCCCCAGCCTCCAAAGGTATCTGTGACCAGTGCTGGGGTACACATTTAGGTAGCAGCCCCTGAGGTTACAGTGAAAGGGGACTCTGATCATCTGCCAGACGTTCTGGTGGGTCCTCATGGCCAAATTCCAGCTCTGACTCCAGCCAGAACAGAGGCTGATTGGACCCATCCTTAGAGGCTGCGCTCTCCGGCCGAGCCATCTCTCTACTGCCTCCCCCCTACACCTCCAGGGGGCGCAGCACTGGGGTGTGGAGCAACCATTTGTTTTCTCCATCTAAACCAGGACTGGCAGAGTTCAGATTAAATTGGAATGTGGATGAGTCCATGAAGAATGGAATCTTTGAGGATCACTGGTCTGCTATGGTTCCCATCTCTGATTTCAGGGTAGAATCACTATGGAGCTATAAAAGGAGTTTCTGGCTCCCTCCTGAGGGTAAAGCCCATCAGCCTCAGCATGTCTCTTTAAAGCAACTTCGTGACACCCTCCTTCCTCCCAACCCCTCACCCCAGAGCTAAACAAGGGGTTGCTGTGCCAACAGGGACTGCTGTTTAGACCAGGCTGTGGGACAGTTTATAAAGAAGTTTCCCACCCTGGCCAGTTTGGTTCAGCGGTTAGAGCATCCGCCATGGACCGAAGGATCTTGGGTTCGATTCCTGGTCAAGGGCACATACCTGGGTTGTAGTTGCAGTCCCCCCAGGGCCTGGCAGGAGGCAACCAATCAATGTCTCTCTCGCATCAGTGTTTCTCCCCACCCCCTTCCACTCTGTCTAAACATCAATGGAGAAATATCCTCGGGTGAGGATTAACAACAACAACAAAAAATTATAAACAAGTATTCCCTGGTTGTTTAAAAGTAGAATGTAAGCAAATAATTACAATGGACCAAGAATGGTGCTCATTACTGTTCTCTCATGTTGCCTTATTTAATCTCCCCAACAACCCAGGGGGCAGACTCCACATTTACTGTGAAGAAAACAGCAGGGCTTGTAGCCTGTTTTTCTTGGAGACAGAGACATCCCACAGAGCGAAAGTCATTGTTATCCCTACAAGTGACGACTCAGCAGAGTTAGTAGCCAGCCCAGATTGGGGAGTGGGGTGGGGTACAGAGACCCTTGTGTGTGTTTCTGTTCTCACCGAAGTTTGTGTATTAATGGGCGACAAGTTAGCAGTTCCTGTTGACTCCTTGTTGCCTCTCCCAGCCCTTGGGGAGAAGAGAGGAGGAAGAAGGGCATGGTGCTGGGTAGGGCTGATGGAGTGGAGATTTCCAAGGCAGGGCTTTCAACAGGTGCTGCAGATAACAACTGAGTTATCGGGGAACTATTTCTGCAGAGAATGTTACAGGGAAATGTTGGTGAAACCCCTGCTTAAGGAGAACACATAGAAAAATGAACCAAAACCCACAACCTAAACCAACTAAACCCTACAACACTCGGGGATGGCGCACAGCTGCTCCCCACGGTGAAAAGGCACAGGTTTGCCCTGCAGTTTTCAGGTGGTCTTGGCAGCGCCCCACCTCCCGCTCGGTTCCTGCAGGCTCCCCCACCGGACAGAGACGGGCCTGGTGCCTGCCTTAGGAAGCCGCTGGTGGAACCCAGAGAAGAGGAGGAAGCCCTGGTAGAAATTCTCCTTTTCACTTGATTTCCTTCTGATCGAGGCTGGCTTGTTCTTCCCACACATTAAACTTCTCAACTGCAATGCTCCCTTATGTAAAATCCCGAAAGAGCGTGTGTGTGTGCTTGAGTGTTCATGTGTTGGTGCTCATTCACCTGTGTGTGCTCATGTGTACATGTGTGCTGCAGTGTGCGCATGTGCACTGGATGAGCGGCACCAGGTCGTGATGGTCTCAGGTGCCAGCTTTGCAGGTGCTCTGTTACCAGAGCTGACACCAGAAAAATAAGGGTAAATTCCAAGCATGAGGTACATTTTCTCCTTACCCCTACCCCCAGCTTTACTCACAGTGGACAATCAGAGCTTTACATCTGACCTGGAAAGGAGCTATTAGAAGATGGGTATAAAAAGGACTTACATGTGTGCACTGGCCAGTGTGGCTCAGTTGGTTGGAGCACCATCCCATTGTGGGTTCGATTCCTGGTCAGGGCACATACCTAGGTTGCAGGTTTGATCCCCTCAGGTGCATACGGGAGGCAATGGGTCAGTGTTTTTCTCTTTCTCCCTTCCTTTCTCTCTAAAATCAATAATCATATCCTCAGGTGATGATTTAAAAAAAAAAGAATCTGCAAAAAAAAAAGGACTTATGTGTAGACATCAGCTATGAGTTTTCCAGTCTGGATTCTATCCGTTTTCTAGGTAACAATGCACATTTGCCAAAATCCAAAGAATCACATTAGGACTTTCTGTGAGAATCAGAACTCCATTCCCTGGAACAAAGGTCCTGCTTCCAGGCAGGATGCACGAGTGTCAGGCTTCGCGCCTGCACTGGAATGTGTCCAGCTCGAGGTGGAACGGTGGGACCGGCCGCCGTGTACCTGCAGTTCTCCAAGGTGGCGTTACCGTGATGTGAAAGCTGGAGCTGGTTTCCTTAGCTTTCAGAAAAGGAAAAATTAAAGAAAAACAGATTGTGCCTTGTAAAAACAGAGACACATTTTACACATGAGTTTGTTGGTGGTGTGATTGTTTTATCCTAACTTGTTAATTTCCACCAAATATAACCTATTTATAATTAAATCTTTGTTTATAAATGATAGTCATTATTGAAGACTATCACTGCCAAACCTGACTTTTTTTTTTAATCCTTACCTGAGGATATTTTTCCATTTATCTTCAAATAGAGTGGGAGGGAAGAGAAGAGAGAGAGAGAGAGACAGACACATAGATCCGTTGCCTCCCACATGACCCCAGCCAGGGCTGGGGACCGAAACACAACCAAGGTGCATGCCCTTGACCAGAATCGAACCTGCAGACTCTTTGGTCAGCCCGCGGATGCTCCAGCCACTGAGCCAAACCAGCCAGGGCCAAACCTGACATTTTTTAAAAGTGCTATTTGCTGACGTTTTCCAAGTCAGAATTTCATACTTTTACCCCAAGTAAAAGTGGAAGAATGCCTGGGCCGTCTATTTCACACACACACACACACGCAAGACCAACTAAAGTAGTAAGAGGACAAAGAAGCTGTCCTGTCTCGATCTTCCCAGCCCCCGCGGTGACCTCACTCTGCGCCATCCATAGGCTCCCTTCAGACCGCCAGCCCTGCAGCTCGGGCTTGCTCACTGCCACTCTTCAGTGACAGGCCCTTCGTGGGCTCATAATAACCCGGTGGGTGATCAAGGGAGTGGGCCATGCAGTGGACATCTATGCCACATGATCCCAAGCCAAAGAAACCTCAGCCACCACGGTCAAGCCAGATACTTTCAGTTCCCTCGCTTCACCTGCCTTGACCAGCAACTCTCACTCCCCCATCACTCCATTGAACCACTCTGTTGACCTTCCACTAACACTTACTAAGCAATGAAAACTCTTTACACATCACATTGCACTCTGCGTCCTGCTGTTTCGCAGCCCGGATGGCAGCACCACAGCAAGTCGCCACTGTGGTGTTCACGTCCCGGACTGATCTGGTGTTCGTGCTTTGAAACAGACTGTCTCAAAGCTCAGTGGCTTGCACATTGTTCTGTACATACACCTGCAGCTTGGACAGGGTTCCACCAAGACAGCTCCTCTCTGCCCCAGTGGGCCTCAGCTGGTGCCCCAAAGGCTGGGCTGGAGTCACAGAAGGCCCTTCAGTCCCCAGCTGGCTTTTGTGATCCTACTGGCTGGGACCTGCCCGGGCTCTGGCCAGACACCCACACAGCCTTGGATTCCCTCACGGCATGTGTCTGGGTCCCAAGAGAGGCAGGGAAGCTGGGGACCTTTCCTGACCAAACTCGGGGCATAACTTAGTGTCCCGTCCGCTGTCCTCTGTTCATGAGAAGCCAGTCACTGAGCCCAGCTTAGACCCAGGGTGAGGGCAGCGACGCCACCTTGATGGGAGGGCACCAAGGAGCACAGACATGTGCCTGCTTTGTCACACACTGAACAAAGCTGCAGTAGAGAGTTGTCAGGGGTCTGCCCAGAGAAATGAGAGGGACCCCGGATGCTCCTCTGCAGGGGCCGCAAGAGTTTTGAAAGAGCATGTTACCTTCCAGGGCTTCAGTCTCCACCAAGCAGACATGTCACTTCCCCTGAGGCAGTTTAGCCTCTATTTTTAGCCCACCTCCACCCCAGAAGGAGAATGTTCTGAGGTTTGATCTAGAGAGACTAATGAGGGCACCCAAACCTTCCTAGCCGGTGCTTTCCTCTAGAAAGGAAACTAGCCCAGGATTAACCAATCACAAGGTATTCATCAAACAGACGTGAATGAAGCTTTCTACAACATAGAGGTGTTTAGCTTGGTGTAACTCTGGAAGAAATAGTATCCCATTAAAGAGGGAAGTTTGGGGCAAAGTACCAGAAATTCTTTGACCAGAAGTGTTGCTAGTTTGGGGAAGTGTCCCAAAAGAAGTTGGAGGCAGCTACAAGCATAATGCATGCCCAGCCCCCAGCATTCCCAGCTCATAATCAGGGCCTATCCCTTTAAGTCCTCCCTCCGTCCTCTCCCAGGGCGGCCAGCTGAGATGCTTGTCTTTGCGTCCACTAACAAACATCAGTAAGATATTCTGAATGTTCTTGTGCAAAAACACGATTCAGTTATCAGAAAAAAATTAGTTCCTTCACTTGCCATAATAAATGGGCTTTTTAGCATAGTCCTTCTTTATTTTTGCCTCCTTACCAGTATTGTTCTCAACCATTTGAAGAGTGGGAAGTCCTGACTGGGAAAAGGGCCTTCTGCTCTGCTCTCCGGTGGTGTGTGTTCTTGGGATCAAAATGCAGGGCCAGCGTCCTATTTGCTTTTTAACCAGCATGCCTTTATCACTGCAGAGTTATGAAGCGGAGAGTGTCATCGGAAAGGAGGTGGGGTTGTTAAGTTGTTTTGTCCAGTCCATAGCCACCCACCCAACTAGCTGCATTGGATTGGAAGAGATTGAGCTTCTGAGTGCAGACAGAGCCTCTTGAGATCACAGGAATCTGCGTGTGAAGAGGCTGCAGGGGCGCTGCTGGTTTTGCTAGTTGTTTGTTAACTGGGCAAAGCGAATGTACTGTATGATCTTGAACTGGAACTTAAGATTTTTCTGGGGCACAGGTCAGTAAAATGGTTTTGTAAACTATAAATCAAAATAGTTTTCTCTATGGTTATATATTTTTTATTACCTAACTGTTAAAGTTTACATAAGCTTGAGGTCTTCATTTTGTATTTACCTTAGGCAATAATATTAACGTAGCAGGAAGACACTATGTTCAATTGCAATTTTAAAGTGTTATTTAAGTTTTACCATGATTCAACATTTTTCTTGTGGTATTTTTTTAACATTTCCCCAGAGAATACACTGCAAAGTTTAAACCTTTGTCCTATATTGTTCTGTTACTGTTCTGCTACAATAAATGTTCAACCTAAGCATTTTGCACTTCAGGGTTTTTTGTTGTTGTTTTTTCGTTTTTTGTTTTTGTATTTTTGCACTTTGGTATTTTGGGGAAAATATTCTGGGAAACTTTGTCAGAGGTAAAAAAAAAAAAAATGTTACCCATTAGTTAAGTAAGTTTACCAGTGTGAGTATAGATATCCTGAACAGAGGTACAGTTATCTCACTCCAGATAGGTCTGAACACTGTCCCCGAGAGCCAGGATTACAGACTGAAGAGGAGTGGACTGCTAACATTTGCTTTGTTGGCAGAGATTTAAATTAAAACCATGAATTAATTAGCTTTGGACACTAAAGATCTCCTTTCCTCCCTTAAACGATATAATCATGACAGGCCACAGTTAATTGACATAATATAGATGCAGTATCCGCGATCAAGATAGGGTGTCTAGTACCCACTTTCACTGGGGGAAAGGCTTTATTTATTTGTCCAGATTAAGCTGTGAAACATTACAATTACTGTCAAGACAGGCAGTTGTAAGCAGCTTTGTGGCTATCCCTGTCGTGCACATTATGTTTTGTATTCATACGCACTTTGGAAATCTCCCTGAAGCTGACCGAGACCGCGGCAAGTGAAAGCACCGTCCCGGGAAAGCCAACGATACTTCAGGGGTGCTTCCAGAGCCCCTCGACCCCTCGCCCCTCGAGCAGCCGACAGTCCGGGAGCTGGGCAGCTGCTCCCCACAGGGCCCCCAGATCCGCAGATAGGCCAGTGGGCCGGCCAGCCCCCTCCTCCAGTCCGGTCAGTCCCCTCCCCGAGTCCGGTCAGTCTCCTCCCCGAGTCCGGTCAGTCCCCTCCCCGAGTCTGGGTCCTTGTTTTTGAAGCGCCGACCACCAGCAAGTTGCTAACTTAATGTGTTTAGTCGTGCTTCGCCGATCTTAGGCAAGTTAATAAAACATCTGGAGAGAGACTGGCACGTCTCAAAAGCAAGGCAGGCTGTCTCTTCTAAGCAGCCTGCTCGGCCCCGGGGGTGACACACCTGGTCCCGAGCGGCCTCCCAGGTGCCGAGCCGCACACCTGGTGCAGGAATGCGCCCTCCCCGCGGGTCCTGGGCCCCCGCGTGCACTGCAAATACAGGAATCGGGTGGTTGCAAACGCTTCTTTATTCTTACAAATACTGTAAAAATTATTATAAAAAAAAGTGAACATGCTCAGTCTTTTCCTCTTATCTACAATACAAAGGGTTGTAGTAAAAGTCTTTTTAAACAAATGTACCTTAGCTGCATCAACAGGAGTAAGATGTAGAAAAAGCTACCATTATAAAAATAATTTAAGGGAAAATAAACACATAGCTTCTTTCAAAGTTCAGTGGTGGCAAGTCCAGGCTGTAGCTTCCTTTCGCCCCCGCGTCCCGGGGAAGCTGCAGCCGGCGCAGAGCGGCTCCGGCGGTCCGCGCGCGCGCCTCGCTGCGGCCCGTCGGCTCTGAGGTATCGGTCGTTGGCGAGTCTCCACGCCCAGCCCCTGGCCACGCGTTACCGGCAGTCCGCAGCCCCGGCGGCCGGCAAGAAGGACGAGCTGGGCAGCTGCTTGAAGAACTGCCGCAGGCCGGCCAGGTCCCGCGTGAGCTGATCCACGCGCTGGTGCAGCTTCTCGTTCTCGGCCGACAGCTCCACCAGCTTCTGCTGCATCTCCTGGTTGCGCCGCTTGGCCTTGTCGCGGCTCTTCCGCACGGCGATGTTGTTGCGCTCGCGCCGCTGCCGGTACTCGGGGCTGCCGCGGTCCGGGCCCCTCTTGCCGGCGCCCTTCTCCCGGGCCGGGCCCGGCGCGGGACTCGGCCCCGGGCTGCACCGCGGCGGCTCGGGCGACGTGGGCGGTGTCGGTTGCGCGGCGGCCGCCAGGCTCACCACGGTCTGCGCGCACGCGGCCACCTGCGCGGGCAGCAGCGAGCCCGGCGCGTCGCCGTCGCCCCAGTCGGGCTCGCGTTTGAGGGGTCGCGGGACGGCCGGGCTCGGGCCCCGGGGTCGCGCGAGGCTGCCGGGCAGCAGCTCCAGGGCGCCCGCGCCCGCCGCGCCCGCCTTGTGGTTGCTGTTGAAGAGGTCGGCGAAGAGCTCGTCGTGGCACAGCTCCAAGGTGGGCACGGCGGCCATGGAGTCGATGTAGGCGCTGAAGTCGATGGCACTCTCGTCGTCGTACATAGCGGGGGCAGAGGCGCCCGGCTCGCTCACGCGGGCCGGTTTGCACGTCCGGCCGGGCTCGTAAAAGGGCGCGGGGTCCGCGGGCCAGGGCGCGCCGCGCGCCGGGCCGTCCAGGCTGAAGAGGGCGGCGCTCATGGCGGCGTCCGGCTTGGCTCCGTGTGCGAGCGCGGCTGTCATCTCACGGGGCCGGGCCCGCAGCCTTTTCTAGCCTGAGCTGACGTGCAGGCCCCGCCCCGGCTCCAAAGCCGCGGGGGCGCCCCGGGGCCGCGGGGAAGGGGAGCGGCGGCGGCGCCCTGGGAGCCCCCGCCCGCTCGCGGAGCCACCCCTTGACCCATCCCGGCCGCCCTCCCTGATAACACCCCGGAGCTCCCCCCACGCCCGCGCGTGAGAGCAGAGGCGCGTGCTTCCTCCCCGCCCCCGGCCTCGCCTGGCCCGGGCAGTCCTGCTGGGAATGACCCTCCCTCTGCCAGCACTTGGGGTTCTTCTCTCCTTCCTGTTTGTGGGGTTTGGAGCCTCTGCGTTTGTCAGAGCCGGGAGTGAAATCAAAACCAGGACTTGGCCGCGGCGCGCGTGTCCCGGGCCGGTTCCCAGGGTCAGGAGGAGGGAGGCCGGGGGAGGGCGACTCCGGGAAGGCGGACAGAGCACGAGAACGTTCTCCAGAGCCGGGGATCGCTCCGCACCGTAGCTGGTGCGTCAGGACCGGAGGGGTGGCAGGACTGAGCCACGGAGGAGTCATGTCGCAGCGACTGAGCCCCCGGCCCCCGTAAATGCTGCGGCTGCGGCACGCGGAGGCCGAGCCAGGTCCCGCGGCGACCCCGGAACCCCGCAAAGCACCAAGAACCGGAGAACCCGCGTGGCCGGCTGTCCCCGCTCGGGCCGCGCTGCCGTTGCTTCTAGATCAACTAAAGCAGTGCCATCTTGTGGCTGTACTCTTCCTTCAGTCCTGTTTTAGAGTTGCAGGCTCTATGCCTCTGTTCAGTATTTCAAAAAAAAGTTCTTTTGAATCTAAAGCAGTTGGGTTCTCCTTGGGAGAAAGATAAGACTTACACTAATAGATCTGACGGGGTATTAAGTTGGTAGCTCTTCACATTGTAAAGTGCATGAAAAGGAAGTATAAATCGTCTTTGCTCATTAAGTTAACAGTAATTTGAAGCAGGCACTTCTGATCAATTCCATTTCTTAAATCACTGCCCCTTTTCAAACCTGGGCTCCTTCTAGCATCTGTTGTTGGCTTAGGCTTCTCACTCACCAGACGTTGGATCCAAACACCAAATGATTCGCAAACCGCTGCCAGAGTTCTGCATTTAATTCCAGAGGTAATTTCTAACCATACACTATGGGATGTTTTCTAGATTTTCTAGAAGAACAAACATATTGCTTTAGAATTACTCAGAGAGGGTACACAATGTTGATGTTATACTATCAATCACCTACTAAGGGTAAAAACCAGGAACACATCTATAGTGTGGGTTCATGCACACCCAGGGAAGGCCTAGTACAAATTTCTCAGTTCTTTTTATTTAGGAAGCCATAAAACACTATTAAAGACTTCTTCAATTAATTAGGATATGAAAAATAAAATTTAAAAATGTACATAAAAGAATCATATTCTCAAAATAATTCAGTGAGATTAGTAGATTCAGATATCAGAGTAACTATAAATATATTTACTAAGATGAAGTTGAGTTTACAAGGTAACGCTATTGAAGAAAAATTCTGTTAGAATGCCCTTTGAAATTTGGGGATTAAACTTGAAAAGAGCCCTGCAGGTGTGCCTCAGAAGATTGAGTGTCCTCTCTCAGACTGAGCGGTCCAGGTTTGATTTGGGTCAGGGCACAGGCGGTTGCTGGCTCTGTTCCCGGTAGGGGGCGTGCAGAAGGCAGCCAATTGATATTTCTCACATGGATGAGCTTCCTCTCTCTCTAAAAGATCAATAAAAATATTTTATAAAAAACTTGAAAAAGATGCTAGACCTACATTTTCATAATGTATTAACCAATAATTAATCATCATATTTAAGACGTTTCTTCTACCCAAAGCACTCATTCAAAAGAATATATGCACCACTATGTTTATTGCAGCGTTATTTACAATAGTCAAGGTATGGAAGCAACTCAAGTGAATAAGATGTTGTGGTACATATATACAATGGAATATTACTTTGCCATAAAGAAGAATGAAATCTTACTATTTGCAACACCATAGATAGCTCTACAGTGTATTATGTTAAGTGAAATTAGAGTAAGAAAAATACTTTATGATTTCACTTATATGTGGAATCTAATGAACAGAATAAAGAACAAACAAAATTAAAACAGACTCATAGATATAGAGAACAGACTGATGGTTGCCAGAGGGGAGGGGAATTGTGGGGATGGGTAAAATGGTGAAGAGGTTAAGAAATACAAAAAAAGAAATGGTGAAGAGGTGTGAAAATACAGTCATGTGTATGTAAAGTACAGCATAATGAATATAGTCAATAATATTGTAATAACGTGGTGCCAGCGAGTATCAGGGAGAACACTTTGTAAAGCATATGGTTATCTGACCACTGTGCTGTACATCTGAAACTAATACAAAATAATACTGAGTGTAAACTGTAATTGGAAAATAAAATTTAAAAAAATAAATAAATCCATTTACTAAAGAGGAGAGGAGAGATTATAGATCTGCAATAATGGATTTGCTGTGGTAGTTGAGGACAAATTAAAGACTTTAAAAAAATAATAATAAAGTATTATCCTAAGCGAAACAAGCCAAGCAGAGAAAGACAAATATCACATGACCTCACTTATTTGTGGAATATAATGAACACAACAGTCTGAGGAATGGGGTAGTCCCAGAGACATGGAAGTAGGGTACAGACTGACAATCCCCAGAAAAGGGGGTGGGGAGAGAGATAAACCACAGAACTTATATGCATGTGTGCATGAACAGTGGACATGGACAACAAAGCTGGGAACAGGGCGGGGAGGGAGGGAAAGGGGGGTATCAATGGAGGAAAAAGGAGAAACATCTGTAACAAAAATACATTAATTAATTTTAAAAAATAAATGAAAGTTTTTTTAAATAATAAAACAATTTAAAGTTTAGTTTCTGTGACAGTAGTTATTTATAGTCATTTCTTAAATGTCTCCGCTAATAATTTATTCCAGATAAATACAAAGTTGTTCTTAAACATTTCTCATTGTTAGAGATCTGTTCCAAATAATGATTTAAGCCTTCTCTTGAGTCGTCAGTATTCGGAGTAGAACTGTCACAAGGAAAGAATCAGGGACGAAAGCATTCCAGTTAGAAACCCGATGCCCCCGTGTTTACAAGGACATTCCTATGTTGAGCTCAGTTGAGTTGTACATGTGGACTTTCTAAACACATCAGTCTTTAAAAATTGAAGTGGCTCAAAAATGCGCTTTCAGGATTAGAAAAAGCAACTCTGGTCTTTTCCTGCTTATTCATAACACGGAGTGACCGTAACTCAGTACTAATGTGGGATCATTTTTGGATGCTTCATATGGGCAAGATACGGTGCAAGAACAGTACTCCAGATTAAAGTCTCAAACAATGAAAATGTTTTCAGCAGCGCTATCTAAAACAAAGTGAAGCTTCCAGAGGAACACTGTTGCTTTTAGCACCCTCTTCTCAACTATTAGATTAGATACGTTTGTTAAACTTCTACCTTAGGACTAATTTTAAGTTTATGGTATATTTTCATGTGTCTGTGTCAGACAATAGTGAGGTTACAAATATAGGTTTTTGTTGTTGTTGTTGTTGTTTTTACTAAACCTATTCCCAGGGAATGAGTTTGAAAAAAGGAAGACAAGGGCCAAAAATAATCAACTCAGTGCATGTTGGGGCGGGGGTCACACATCCTTTGCACTGTTAAAGCCTGTGTATTTTACTAAAAACCTGCTGGATGGGTAAACATTTCAGCATTTACTCCAGCCTCTAAATTCAAAAGACTGAGCCCCCAGATTACAAAGCACCCAGAGCTGAAGACAAGTATTTGATTCTGTGGGTCAGGTGTCCAACCTGCCAAATACCTGCTCACCTTCCCATTAATAAAAACACAAGGAGAAGCAATTTGTCTTTCCAGCCCATATTCTTGTCAAGTGGCTTCATCCTTCCCTTAGCTCACACCTGTCAGCCCTGCCCCCACCTCCCTGCCACAGCCCAGGCAGTTCCTGGGTGGCCTCCAGTAACACTTGTCGCCCAGGAAGGGCACAGCAGGTCTGCACGCTCGGTGTCTTCTCCCCACCCGATCCATTCTTCAGATGGCCGCCAAGAGATCGTCGGAGAGGAAGGTGCTGTCAGTCTGTTCCATAAAATGCCTGCCGACCACAGCAACAGATGCCTGACTCAACTCTGAATACCGCCACAGACCTACCTGGCACGCTCTTCACCCCCGTCCTCATACTTGGCTGGCAAGATCCTTCCATCTACTAGAGTCTTAATAAAATAGCACCTCTTTATTGCTTTCTGTGACTTACTTTAGCCATAGTAATCATTTCCTTGTTGGGTGTCCCAGGAAAAATTTATCTCACATATTGCCAATTATTAAATGCACATTTTTTCATTTTGTTGAAATTCAGATGCAATATTGGGATGCATGTAACAATCACCATTGGCCAAGATATCAGTTACAGTGTTTGGTATTACCTGCATATGAGTATAAGTGAATAGGGACGAAACCCTAGGGATAATAGTGGGGAGCTCTCTTTTATGAAATTCTACATCACCATCTCTCTTGATGGAACAGAGAGCAGCATTGGGTATAAAACCAAAACATCAACAACTCTGATTTTAAAAGTGATTCAGAGGCCCAGCCATCGTGACTCAGTGCACCAAGAGGTTGCCGGTTCAACTCCCGACCTGGGCACATGCCCACGCGGTGGGCCTAATCTCCAGTGGGGGCATGCGGGAGACAGCCAATCGATGTTCTCGCTCATCAATGTTTCTATCTCTCTCCAGCCAATCGATGTTCTCGCTCATCAATGTTTCTATCTCTCTCCCTCTCCCTTCCTCTCTCTCTAAAATCAATATAGAAAATTTTTTAATAAAAATGATTCGGAGGAGGGAATTTCAAGATTATAGGGAGGTAGGTGGAAGCTACCCTCACCGCCTCTCAGGACCAAACTGGAGTCACAGCTATAATAGAGAACAAACATCCTAAATAACCTTCTGAAAACCAGTTGAAGAGAAGCCTTATAACCATGGATTTACAGACGCCACAGTG